TGGAGGAGGCAATTTAAGTGGCATCCCAACTTGCCCAGTCCAGCCAATCAAATCTCAAGTGGGACATCTTCTGCCAGAATCTCTGCAAACCAGGGCAGACGCCTATTTTCAGGGATGTCGGCTGCATCACTCTGAAAATTTCACTCACTGGGGACATATGTGCTCAGTGTATCTCCAACCACCTGTATCTTTTTCTTCTTAGGCCTCCATAAACACACCTGTACCCAAATTATCCCCTTAAGTCTAATTACGATGGTGAATCTGTATCACCATTAGTGCAGTTACTAATAAAACCCCAGTAACTGTTGACCAGTGTTGCTTGTGCAGGAGCAAATCTCTACCTGAGTGCGTTCCTTGTCACTCAAGTCACAGCCAGTCAACATGACCTGAGAAGAGCCATTTTCTCTCCATATGATATGCCACTACAAAATGGCTATAGCAGGAAGGAACTAATGTTTTGGAGGATCACTGGTACATGTTGAATCCCAATTTAACATTCTTCCTTCATGCTTTGCATCCTGCTGTATTACAGAATCACTGCAAATAGTGACCATCTATACAACAATTCCTTTAACAATTAAATAAACAGACAACAGTATCAGTATTGATTTATTGTGGTTATACTATGCTATTACCTGTTGCAATCTTGACAGATTATCAGAAAGATTCAAAATAAAACAATAAATAAATAAATAAATAAAGTCACTAAAATGTAACTTAATGTTAAAATAAATTTCCATAACATGGATCAGCTTTTCGTATCAAGATATGTGCTATAATTTTGTACAGAATGTTAAAATCCTTTAAATTTAGGATGAAATTATGATTGCTTTTGTGTATATAATATTGGTATATTGTGATGAGTGTTGTGTGTTGTTTGGTAGATGTGTGGGATGTTTCTAACCTGGAAATTCTTGTTGAGTGGTCGCTTCAGTGTGGTTGGGTGATAAAGGGTGCTGCAAATGGCTTACTGCTCATAATGGTCTTCCTGCTTTTAGTTACCTATTTCAATGGCACATGTACATCTTCAGTATATGGAGGTATGTGCTTGTACTAGTAGCTTGCCAAACCTCAGACATGCCACAAAACCTGACCTCACAGATTAACAACAGAAGTCAGGCCAGTACACATCACTCAGGACCATCCACAAATTACCTACAATCTAACAGATACAACACAATTTGGATATGGCCACATTTCCACAAACCCCCTATTATTAGTACCTGTTGTGTAGACCACCACTATACAGTATGGTTAATATTCCTTCAATTAAGGTTTCCCCTCCTTTAACAATAATTCTAATCAGCCCAAGTAAAGAAACTATGTGTTAAACTTCCTCCATTTAAAATGATCCTGCATTTAGTCACTAAAGAACCATTTAACATGCCAAAAGTTTGTACCTTACTGTTTTTGTTTCACACAGCTTTTCTTTGCTAAACTTGCAAAAAGATCTTATACAAAAAAACACAGACTTCAAATAATGCATGAAAGTGGCTACAGATATACCAAACTGGACTATAAAACGTAAACAAGCTACACAGGTTAATGATTTCAATTTTTTCAACAGGCCTAAACCTCTTCAACCCATTTCTTTCTAATAATATACTTTCCTTTAATACATTCCCAACTACATGCTATCCTAACAGTATTTAAAGTTGGATCACAGCAAGCATTCTAATCCAACTTAATCACTTGCTGTATCATCATAGTGTGTTTAACTGTTGTGAGCTATAACACAAGTGCATACCGGGAAGAACAATCCCAAATTGAAGTTGTGCAGGGAGCCTTCATAAAGAAATTACTTAGAACTGTGGCATGTTTGCTCAAAGCAAAAACTGTGGAGCCAGAGAAACAGGATGGCTCTGAAACGTTTCTAGGTAATGTTCATGAAACAGAAAATAGCATGATATCTGTTACTAGGCAGCAGATTTTTAATTAGCAAGAACAGACGGCCACTGCTAGGGAACAGCTCAGTAAACACATTCCCATGGGAATGGTTAGAATACGAGAAGGAATGGTGTGTTGTCTGTGCAGGCCACGTCAAGGAGCTATACGGAAGACAACTGGGGCAACCTAGACATTTCTGTACTGGAGGCTGTGAAGAAAAGGGATAGCTGGAAGGGAATCACCATTCAGTAAGGACTTAAGCATGGAAGCTGCAGAGTCTCCACTGTTAGAAGCCGCTACCTGAGAACAGATGGTGAAGACACAGCAGGCTGGAAAAGACTTAGCGTGTGCTGTAGTAATTTGTAGAGTGTGGAGATTAGTGATGGCATTTCAGTTACTTGTAGTTCCAAGCTGTGTGTATAAGTGGTCAATAAAACCAATATCTGCTCGAAAATCCCATTAACAGTGCCACACACACACACATACACCCGTGACAGTACTACGAACAGATTTATGGAAACCCAAATTGAATAAAACAATTTACAAAAAATGGAAATACAGCAGAACCATGATGGAACAAGCATGGTTTATAAGAACTTCATTACAATAAGAGAAAAAAAACATTATCACTGAAAATTCCTTAATATTACATATATAGAAAAATCTCACATGAAATGAGGAAATTCATCCAACAATCTTGTCAGAACTGACAATTCATAGTCAGCTGTGACTTCTCTTCCATAACTTTTTGCAATAATCATAACTGCACTTTTGCTTCCGAAAGTGTTTACTGCTGGCAGTCTGTAAAGGTACCATTATATCACACCTTGTGCCTCTCTCTTGAAACTGAATGAAAATCCATTCAGCAGTTCAGAAGTTACACATACAGATAAACACTTTGAAGCTAATGCATGCACCTAAGCAACTTTTTTCATGAATACATAAAACAGGCTGAACATCCTGCCACCTACATTATTTTCTTGTCCCTCTGTGCCACACAGTTACAGGTTGTCCCAGGAGGAATGTGCCAAACTTCAGGAGGGTGTTCCTTATGTTAAAGTATGCCGATATAACCCAAAACACCTATGTCCAAAGCTGAACGGTTACGGAGATAATGGCCCGGGAAAAGTGTGGTCTTCTGGCAGGTCCACGCACTATACCTGTCAGCTGAGACGCTTTATCTATGTTTGTCCTTGAGTGCGCTGATTCACACTAGCCATAAGCTCATGTGCTACATACAGAGTACGTTGCGGCTGCGTCGTGAATGGTTGGTAATTAGTTGTGCGAAGTTGCTGAAATGCCTTTTGTGTTTTCACACGTTGAATTCTGTGTGTGGATTTTGTGGTGGCAATGCACGTGCTGCTGTTGAAGAGTACCAAAGGCGTTTTCCCGATCGAAGGATTCCATCTCAAAGTGTATTTACACGAATTCACCAGACATTACGTGATACTGGTTCTCTTCCGAGTGTTTCTGTGCAGTCTGAAAGGGAGGATGTACGAATGATAAACACACGAGAGAACATTCTTGAGATGGTTCAGAGAAGTCTGCGTCTGTCCACTCGTAGAATGGCCTCCCGCATTGGCGTATCACGTATGCAGGTGTGCCGAACTTTACATGATGAAGAGCTGTATCCTTAGCATGATCAAAGGGTACAACATCTGGAACCAGGCGACCATGCACAGCGTATGGATTTGTGCCACTGGATAAAAGCTCATCCCGAACTGTTGAGCATCATTTTATTCAGTGATGAGGTGTCTTTCACCCTGGACGGTGTAAATAATTTACGAAATGTGCATACGTGGTCCCATAATAATCCACATGAGATAATGGAAACGAAATTCCAAAAGAGATTTTCTGTGAATGTACGTTTAATACAGTTATGTAGTCTGTTTATACCACTATGCGCAGTCAGCCATGTTACGTAAGCGCTTGCCAGTCATGTGTCATGTATAGTGCTTGGAAACCTAAGGACAATTATGACATGGCGAGCGAGTATTTTGTACTTCAATTTTATGGCTTCATGTCATTCACAAGTTAGTTTGATGTTACGTACATTATTAACATTACAGAAACCACGTACTCCTGCCAGTTTTAATATGTATTTTGTAATCAACAAGTGTGTAACACCGGTCAAAGTTTCACACTTCTCTGGCCATTATCTCCGTAACCGTTCAACTTTGGACAAATGTGTTTTGGGTTATAATGGCATACTTTAACATAAGGAACACCCTCCCGAAGTTTGGCACATTCCTCCTGGGACACCCTGTATATACAGAGTATTTCACGACTTTAGGGCATAACTGCAGGAGGTGATTTCCTAGGTCTTTGTAATCAAAAAAGTTCATATAAACATGTGTCCGATTTTGGATGGTTACGGAGTTAGGACCATTTTAAACTCAGAATAGAAGGTGACGATTACTGACAATAAACAGAACAAAATAATAAACCAGCATAATACATGATACATTTAAAGTATGAATGTAAAGGTAACCTCATGAAATTACCTTTAATTTGAACTTATTGGTGCTTAAAGCTGATTTTCGAAAAAGCCACCGATGGCCGCAACACAGGCTGCCGCTCGGTTGTAAACCGCGCTGGACATTTCAACCCACAACGCCTTAGGTGCCTCTCAAGTGTCGAGATAACGAGAACGCTCTGTACTTAGCTGGCTAAAAATAGTGACCCGTCAGATGATAAATGCAGTTCACACGAGGGCGTGTACGGGAATGAAAAAACGGTCATAACTCCGTAACTGTCCAAAATCGGACACATGTTTATATGAACTTTTTTGATCATAAAGACCTAGGAAATCACCTCCTGTAGTTATGCCCTAAAGTCGTGAAACACCCTGTATGTATGTATGTGTGTATATATATATATATATATATAAACAATTAAAGGTTGGTCCTAAAAGACTACTTATCTCAATCATTTTCAGATATTACAAGTGCTCATTCACAACGAGCAATTTTATGAATTTTATATATTATCAATACATTGAGGTTGCATGCACTATACAGTAATATGGCAAGGTAATATCAACGTATGACAACCACCAAACATTAAGGACATCTAACTCTTATAGCATGAACAGTCAGTTAATATTAACTTACTTCGCCTGTAAGCAGACCTTTGCCTTTTCTTCCCATCTTTCTACCTGTGTCAGAAGTTCCTGAAGCTCAGCCATGGACTTCTCTACAGCTGAATGTGGGGGCAGGCTTACACCAATGTTCAGCAGCTTCCTGAGCGACTCCAAAGTGACTTGCTCTGGATCTTCTTGCAGATCTCTCACATCTTCTAGCCACTTCATCTGATCTAAGGTCTAAAGGAAATTGTGCTTAGTTATTTATATATGGGGTGATCCAGAGACCGGTGGCCAAACTTCAGGAGGATGTAAATAAACTGTCACTCAATCCATCACAAAAATGCACTCCTCATTCATAAACGAATTCAATTAGTTACCTTTAAAATCTGTATCCATTATTTTTCTGAAGCTAGGATAGTGCACTCGGTATAGTGATTGAGTATGGGCTGGTTGACACAGGGGTCAGAGTTTGAATCCCAGTGGGGGCTAAAATTTTCTCTTTTCCAAGTTGCCCAGTCTGGCTCTGGGGTCCACCCAACCTCCTTTCCAATGGGTACCTGGGGCTATTTCCCTGGGGGTAAAGTGGCAGGGTCGTGAAGCTGACCACTCACCTCCAACTAGCGCTGAGGTCAAGAAAATGTGGATCTATATATCCACTGCCCCATATGCCTTCCTGGCACAGTGCATAATTAGTCAAGCACAGGGACAATTTTATCCATTACTTTTAATTACAATGAATGAAAATAAGAAATTTTTAATTTATTAGACCTTTTCAGTTTGAATTTTACATTCTGTTTAATACTACCCCAGCTCACGCACATGCTTCAAAACAGCAATATACGAGGGTTGTACTGAAAGTCATGAGAAACAATTTTTTGTAAAGTAACATGCTTTATTATTGACAAACCAAATACAACACTTCAATCTACAGACCTTTATTTTTCCACAAAATCGTCACTTCTTTGTACACATTTCTCCCAGCGTTCTGGGAGTTTGAAAATTCCGCTTCTGTAAAATTCCGTTCCAGCCATCCGAAGACACTGACGAACTGCTTTCTGAATTGCCACATTGTCCACACAGCTGATCCTTCACAAATCCGAAAAGATGGTAGTCGGAGGGTGCCAGATCAGGGCTATATGAGGGGTGTGGAAGAACTTCCCACCCCATCTTTTTGCTGACCTTTGTGGTGTTTTGGTCAATAACCGCGGGACCCAACGAGCACAAACTTTCCTATAGTCCATGCTTTCAATCATCTCCTGTACTGTACTGTGCCCTATTCCAAGTTTTCGGGCTATTGTGTCCACAGTCACAAGCCTGTCATCTTGAATGATCCCATCCACTCTCTCCCTGTTGCGTTTAGTTGAGGCTGTTCGAGGACGACCACTCCGAGGCTCATCTTTGATGCTGGTGTTCACATCTTCAAAATGTTTCACCCATTTTCAAACACTGCTCGCACCCATGCACACACTTCCATAAGCACGCTGAAGTCTCTGGTGAATTTTACAGAAGGGATTTCCTCTTTCACAAGAAATTCGAAGACAGCACGCTGGCAAAACGACATATCGTTGTCAGCCATTTTGTTAGGAGTGATACTGGTCACATGATGCAAGCTAATGACATCACAAGACACTCAAGGTTAACACAACAGCTGGTTCCGCCTACCACTGTACTCTGTTTCATCTGCTGTTCCCAGGATGCATGGGTTGCATGCAAAAAAAAGTTAGTTAGTTAGTTAGTTAGTTAGTTAGTTAGTTAGTTATTGGAGAGGGTGGGTTTCCCCATGCACTGAGACCTGTATTGGTCCACTGTGCTTCCCTCTGTGATTTCTACCAGTCTCTATATCCTACCGGTACTGGTGCTTACCATCAGTCCCGCCCAGACAGCGAGACCGGCTCTACTAGCTGAGAGGTATCTATAATGCTTCCCCCATCTACCAGAGGTATTAGAGACTGCTGTTGGGCGGGAAACGTCCGTAAATTTGGCTCAGTCACCTCCTTTGGAGATTTTTACGTGACGTAAAGCTATGACACAGGACCCACGGCTTAAGGTCCCTCCTGGAGGACTTGTTCCCTGAATTTTTCCATCCTTAAAAACTTGACGACCTCTGCCGGGTATTTGAACCCGCGTACTACGAGTCATGAGGTGGGAACGTTACCTCTAGACTACGGAGGCCGCTCAAAAAAAAGTTACTCATGACTTTCGGCATGACCTATGTAAATATATATATTGTCACGTGTTTAGACACTGAAGACGCCGTAGACATTTTTGATTCGTTTATTTAACAACCTACAAGTATCGGGTACAATTAATTAATTACAACCTGTTGCGGGGTTTCACACTTTACAACCCTATTCGCAATACTCTCTTCACACTGTTGCAGGGTTTCACACTTTATAACCCTATTCGCAAATCTCTTCACACTGTCACGATTCACTTGTTACAACTAAACTCGGTGACTACCACAATTCAATTCAACTTGTAACTCTCCGCTGGCTAGATTCCAACTCAACTGTTGCTCCTGATCACACACTCTAACTCGTTCACTGCTGACTGGAGGACTGTCTTCGGCCACTGATACACTTTCAACTCACAACTGCACTTGGCGACAGCCACATTTCAACTGACTGCGGCGGCTGTGTATTTCCCTTGTATAGTCACAGCGCCCGCCTGTTACGCAATTGGTACCGCTGTTGGCTGTTACCCGTGTCACAGCTGCGTTGTGTGTTACATCACCGTGGAGGGGGGGAATGATGGAGCGTTGACTCACCCGCCACGTCACTGCTGGGTAGGGAAGGATTGTCCTCCATTGCACAACATGTCACAATATATATGAGGGGCGTTCAAGTTCTAAGGTCTCTGATTTTTTTTCTCAGGACTGGAAGCAGATAGACACATGCGGTTTAGTTTAAAATACGTGTGGACTCTTTGTGAATGTGTGACAGAGATGGCAGCACTGTACGGCAAACAGAACTCTAGTGGTGGCAGCGAGTCTGAAGAGCATTTTTGATACCTAAAATGGCGACGTTTTCGTTACAAGAACAGCGAGTAATCATTCGTTTTCTCCACTTGCGTGGTGTGACACCCATTCAAATTCATCGCCAGTTGAGTGAAACTTGGTGGTGTCATGAACATGAAAAATGTGCGTTCGTGGATGCGAGTTGATAAAGTAGTTTTGGAGGATCGCCGATTGAGTGTGGAAAACACTGCCTCAAAGTTGGCATTTCCGTGGGATCTGTGCACACAATCCTGCATGAAGACTTGCGAATGGGGAAAGTGTCCTCCAGGTGGGTGCCACGAATTCTGGCGGACAACCACAAGGCTGCACGCATAGCAATTTGCCAGGCGATGTTGACACGTGATGAAGGCATGAATGGGGCTTTTTTTTCATCAATTGTGACAATGGATGAGACGTGGATGCCGTTTTTCAATCCTGAAAAGAAGCGCCAGTCAGCTCAATGGAAGCACACAGACTCACTGCCACCAAAAAAATTTTGGGTAAGCACCAGTGCTGAAAAAATGATGGTGGCCATGTTTCGGGACAGCAATGGCATAATCCTTACTCCTTGCATTCCAAAGGGCTCTGCGGTGACAGGTGCATCCTACCAAGATGTTTTGAAGAACAAGCTCCTTCCAGCACTGCGAGAAAAATTGCCGGAAAAGGCTGCATGTGTGCTCTTTCACCAGGACAATGCACAAGGGCATCAGGCATACCCGACACAGCAATTTCTTCATGAAAACAACCTTGAAGTGGTTTCTTATGCTCCCTACTCACCTGACCTGCCTCCTAGCGATTTTTGGCTTTTCCCAGCAATGAAAGGCACTCTCCGTGGTCGCACATTCACCAGTCCTGCCGCTATTGCATCAGCGATTTTCCAGTGGTCAAAACAGACTCCTACAGAAGTGTTCACAGTGGCCATGGAATCATGGCATCGATGTTGTGAAAAATGTGTACGGTTGCAGGGAGATTATGTTGAAAAGTAACAGAAGTTTCGAATTTTTTGTATGATTGTGTGAGAAAAAAATCGGAGACCTTAGAACTTGAACGCACCACGTATATATAGTTATGTAAGCTGTATGGCCAATCTATGTGACTAGAAAATAGTTGTTCAACTGGTTACATACCTGGCATGAAAAGTGGTGAGGGGCATCACTGTGGTTAAACCACAGGCCCTTACAAACATCAAGGAGTACACGGTCCAAAGAAAATTAACATTCTGAATTTTGCTCAGACAACTAGCTATCACATATAAGGCCAACCAGGTAACCATTCACAATTCAGCTGTAATATCTGATGTTACATTTATTTTAAAATGAAGAGCATCAAACAGCAGAAGAATTCTCCAGTTCCCATTCATGTAGGTTGAGGAGACTGCCCACACCATGTCACACTGAGTGGCAGGATCTGGGGAATCTAACTATCCTCTCCCACTCCTAGGAGAGAGGGACAGAAGATAACAGTAGGAACAAATAAAGGGAATGGGAAAGAGTACAAGACAAACACGGAAGGAGATAAGGTATAAAAAGGATAAAGGAAAGCAAGACAGAAAGAAAGAAATTATTTTTCCAGTGGCCTTTGGTGAGGCATGTGATAATACAAATATAATATTGGAATGACATTTTCTTGCACTTAATTTCACAGATGCAAAGAAAACACTGTCAAACAACTAACTTGAGAATATAAGAATCAGGAAGTACATAGCTACAGCTCTCACAAGCATTCACTCACTTATGGAGCTGATCCCTTCTTGAGAAGCCATTATTTGTGCAGCTACTCAAGAATTTCCCAGCATTTTATGGAACCCAAAGGTTCATTACCGTTCTTAAGAGAGCCCTCCACTGTTTCCTATCCTCAGCCAAATCAATTCAGTCCTCACTATCCCATCCTATTGTCCACCCACCTACATCTTGGTCTTCCCAGTGGTCTCTTTCCATCTAGTTTTCCCACCAATATCCTGTATGCATTCCTCTTCTCACCCATTCGTGCTACATGCCCTGCCAACCTCATCCTCCTTGGCTTGATCATTCTAATTATGCTTGAAGAAGAATACAAGTTATGAGGTTCCTCATTATGCAGTTTTCTCCACCCTCCTGTTAACTTCATCCCTCTTCGGTCCAAATATTCTCCTCAACACTCTGTTCTCAAACACCCTCAGTCTGTGTTCCTCCCTTAAAGTCAGAGACCAGGTTTCACATCCATACAGAACCACAGGCAAAATTATAGTTTTGTATATTATAATTTTTATGTTCCTGGACAGCAGATGAGAAGACAAAAGGTTCTGGACTGAATGGTAGCAAGCATTACCCCGAGTTCAATCTCCCCTTAATTTCCTCCTGAATCAGGTTTTGATATGTTATAGGCATTCCCAAATATGTGAACTGTGCCACATTTTCAAAACATCTGTTTCCTATCTTTATGTCATGATTTTGCCCTGCATTTTGGTGATGAGACAGCAACATATACTTAGTTTTCTGTTTACTTCTAGACAAACCTCTTTAATTGAGTCAATTAAAGTTTGTATGAGGGTGAGTCAAATGAGAACCATAATTTCTTTTTTAAATTTAATTTATTGAATGAAAGCCCTCCAGCGCTTACACAGTGTATGGATTCCTCTAGAAAAAAAATTTTTGTGGGTGTCTGCGCAACCACTCATGCACCACCTGCTGTACCTCTTCATCAGAATGGAACTTCTTTCCTCCCATCACTTCTTCCAGTGGCCCAAACATGTGGTAATCACTTGGGGCTAAGTCTGGTGAATATGGCGGGTGTGGAAGACACTCAAAGTGCAAGTCTTGGATTGTTGCAACTGTTGCATGGGCAGTATGGGGCCGAGCACTCTTTATTTTGCAAAAGGACACCTCTAGTCAAAAGTCCCTGTTGCTTTGATCTGACTGCAGGTCGAAGATGATTCTTCAAGAAATCTGCATATGAGGCACTGGTGATAGTGTTCCCCCATGGTGTGTAGTGCTCCAAGAGTATGCCTCGTTCATCCCAAGAGTCAGCATAATCTTCCCTGCAGATGGCTGCGTCCAGAACTTCTTGGGTTTTGGTGATGAGGAATGATGCCATTCCTTGCTCAATCTCTGTTTCTGGTTGGTGGTAGTGCACCCAAGTTTCACTGCCAGTAACGATTCCCGAAAGGAAGTCATCACCTTCTCCTTCAAGGCACCGCAGAAGTTCTTCGCAGGCATCAACATGTCACTGTTTCAATTCTGGAGTCAGCTGCTGTGGCACCCACCTTGCAGACACTTCGTGAAACTGGAGCACATCATGAATGACATGGAGTGCTGATCCATGACTCATGTTAAGAATTTCGGCCATTTCATCCACCAACACTCGGCGATTCTCCATCACTAACCTTCATCCGTTGATGAACTTCAATCGGTTTCACATCTTCACTGATCAAAAAATGAATTACAGAACGCTGTTCTTCTTTCATGCATGTACAGAGTGGAGCTGCACTGTGAGGGCGTTCTTTTTGTCTGCATTGTACTGCCACCTATAGGATACTCTTTATAGCATTGGTAACATGTCTGCCAACTTATAGGACAATGACGCAATATTTCAAATTTTTATCTCAGTTTTATGGTTTTCATTTGACTCACCTACGTATGTTTTTGTTTATGGTATCTATATTGTCACCCCATAGATTCACATCAATGGCATAGACCAACAGCTGATGCATGTCATTTAATTTCAGTCCGACTTGTTTTTTCTGGTCCTTCCTAATGCCATACACTTAACCAAAGTTGATAAAGCATCTCCTTGTATTAGATCATCCTAACTAGTATTGTGGGTACCCCAAACTCTATCAGTATATTGTACAATACTTCCCTCCAAACTGAATCATAGGCTTTCTTCAAGTCTACAAATAGGTGATATACTGTCTCATTGTACTCCCATTTTTTTTTTCCAGTAACTGACATATGCAAAAGATCTGAATAGCAGTTGATCTCTTATGTCGAAATGACACTGATGATTCCCAATAATTACATCTATGTATGCACTTAACCTTGAGAGAAGAATATTAGACAAAATTTCGTATGAAGTTGATAGGAGTGATATCCACCGATAATTACTACAGTCAGTTTTATCACCCTTCTTGACAACTGGTACAATAATAGACTACTTCCACAGGCAATCTTTCCTTACACCAAACAGAAGTAATTAGCTTACGCATCTCAGGACCCAATATTTCACCTCCTGCTTGAATAACTGCCAGAATTTGATCACTACCTGGCAATTTATACCTTGCTTTCGAAGGAAGAGAGCGTTGGATAGGTAATATCATTCTGAGAGACACACATGTTGAGAAGGCAGCAGTCACTTTTCTGTCAAAAGCAGTGACTAGAAGTTTGGAATAATTCCACAGATTACATTATGGATCATTATCGCGCAACTCAAACCCTTAACAGAAAATATTACTTTGTTGCAATACTGTGCTCACACGGCTAATCATTTTCACTCTCACCCTAATGTAAAAATAATCAAAGGCATGTATATTACCTGCTTGAGCTTGGGAATTTCTGGCAGCTCAATATCCAATATAACACCATTTTCTATACATTTATCCAGCAATCGTGACTCTGGCATTTCCTGACTTAAAAGGTCAGTTGCCTCCTTCTGGAAGTCTTTAACTTTATCAAGCAATTCTTTCACTCCTTCACCTTCCTTTATTGTACATGGCAAACTTTCTATTTGTTCATAAAATAACGACAGTTCTTCCACTGTCAATCTATACTTCGCTTCTGTGATCTGACGTGTTCTGTAAAAGGATAAAATGTACAAATTTCATCAATCTTGAAGAAGTGCTCTTCATAGCAACAAAAGGCGCTCTCATTCTCCATGTGTTACACGAAGAACATGCCTTCACAAAAGAGAACAGAAATTACCTTGTGCGAACTTTCTTGCAGGACAGTTGCTGGGCAACACTTGCACACTTCTCGGCTTCAGTGACAACTTGCATTAACGCCTGCAGCAACTCTGATTCTGGAAACTTTTTCTGTTCAGCTTCTTGCAACAATGATTTAACCTCGGTAAGGTCTGGAAAACAAAGACAAAGCTACCAGAAATTCTATTTCTGGTTACTTCAGGACCACAAGTTCTCGATCATATTTAGGTATAGATTACTTACAATAAAACCGAAACCATATGGTATTACTGATCACAAATTGGCACGTTATGAACGATCCAAATCTGACGAGCCTTAATTTGGATTCTTCCATGCAATTACTAGTCACAGATATTATTAGCAAATCACAATCCTACATTATTTTCATGCTATGCATCCCGCTGTGTATGTAGATTTAGCGTTTCTTTTTTGCAGTCACGTAACACTTTGATTCTGTTATACGATGGGGTACCCAAAAGAAACCGAACTAATATTTTTGTGGGCAGAGCTTTTGTAGTACCGCATTTTGCCGCTATGAGCGCATAGAGCTAACATTCCTGAGTCGATAAGCCAACTACCGTTGCTTCAGAAGGTAAGGACTAGTTTCGGCAGAGTTTATAGTGACAACTGTTTTGTGTGATCGTCGTTTTTGCAATGGCTGATTTTCGTGAACAGCGTGCGGCGGTGAAATTCTGCTTTTTGCTCGGGAAAAGTGGAACAGAAACTCTTGAAATGTTAAAAACGGCGTACAAGGACGATGCTATGGGGAAAACTCAAGTGTTTGAGTGGTTTTCCCGTTTCAAAAATGGTGAAATGTCAATTGATGACAAACCTCGTTCTGGTCGTCCTTCCACGGCCCGAACACATGAAAATGTTGAAAAAATTCGTGAAATCATCAAGGAAGATCGACGACGGACCATTGAAGAAATTGTGGAGCTGTCGGGAGTGACTTGGAGCTCAGCGGCCAGATTTGTGGCAGTCGGGTGACTGGTTTTTCCATCATGACAATGCCCCTGCTCACACAGCCCTGTCTGTATGACAATTCTTGACCAAAAATGGTATGACCCCTGTTCCTCACCCTCCATACTCACCTGAACTAGCCCCGTGTGACTTTTTTTTTGTTTCCTTGAATGAAAAGAGACATGAAAGGAAAAAACGACAGAGGCACTGTCAAGCATCTCAAAAGATGAATTTAGACAACGTTTTGAAAAATGGAATAAAAGACTAGACAAGTGTATTAGTGTAAGTGGAAAGTACTTTGAAGGGGACTGAAGGTTTGTGCTTAAAATTTGAATAAAGAAGTTTAAAAAAAAATAAGTTCGGTTTCTTTTGGGTACCCCCTCATATACAATAAGTGACTAAACTGAATATATCAATAAGTTAATCAGTTTATTATACTGAACACTACATTTTTCTGTCATGGTTCACCTACATTATATCACCAATACAAGTCATACAGCTGTTAACATATACATTAACTCTACCCACAGAATTTCAAATATTGAAAAGGAATAATTACTAATACATACACTATATTTTTTCACCTAAGTCAACCCTGAAAAATGAACAAAGACATCAACTGTGCAGAAGAAATGTAAATGCTGTTCTCTATGGAATTTGGTTCTTCGCACATCCTTCTAGTCCAGACTGCATGCTTTTGTACAATATGAGACTTCACAAATCATGATCAATGCAACATTTTCAGCCTACCCTGAAGAATCAGCAAGGGCAGTAGGAGAAGGGGCATACTCTCATCCAGCATTCAAGTGTGACACATATTAAACTGTCATTGTGTAGAATATGGATACACTTACACTGAAGCATTGAGTATTTTCCTATGAAGCTTATCTAATTAGATCGGGAAGAGTCATGAACACCACACACAAGAAATGGTAATCACAATCAATTTTCTGATGTTATTGTAATGATCTTAAACTATTAACCCATCAATCATTAGTGGAAGAACATAAGTGGTTGCATGATCCTACTCAATTTAACTGGTATCAGCTGAAGGGTGTGACATGCCTGTCTGCATGGCCTCAATTTGGGAAGCATGTAAGTGGTTGCATCACCCTACTCAATTTAATTGGTATCAGCTTAAGGGTGTGACGTGCCTGTCTGCACGGCCTCAAGTTTGGGAAGCATGCTCCTCAGTGCTATAACTTCTGTTGAGACAGAAGTGACTGCCAAGTCCCAGCAAAATCCTAGATTCATTAAGTAACAATCTGGTCTCAGAATGAGCTTGTTCGTACTGACAAGACATTAGTTTCACATGCAAATCCACCACGGACAAATGAATACCCATCGACATTCAAGAGCCTACAAATAAACAAGTGTCAAGTACTGCCAGTGTTCCTCTTCAGTTCTGGACTCCTTCAGCAAGCTGGCATAGTCTCTGAGCCCTGAACCATCATCACCAGCATAAACATGCCCTAGGTGAGCTAACTGCTTTACTGAGACCTCAGCCATGGCATAACATCGACAGGAGGAAATGGTGGTCTAGTACTGGAGGCTTATAAGCTCTGGGTGCCCAAACCAACCCTATATTCCAAGCTCGTCTCTCAGCAGTTGAGGTGGACAATTACAATAATTACTTCATTCTCTTGATATTACCATGTAAGAGTTGTGGTTGTTGGGGATATTTTAAAGAAAAGCCTTATCCAATCAACCCACACACAGAACATGCAGCTTGAAACGTTGTGTGTACCCAGAGAACCACAGCATCAGTGAAAATCTGTTCAGAATGTGAAGAGAATATATCATAGTCAATGAAGAACATTTTCAGCAACTCCTTCAATGCAGGTATGTAAATGTTACTATATAAATTCAGCACACTTTCACCAGGAATGCAGCTGACTGAGCAGGGAACATAGCTCTGGCTCAGCCCCAAAACTGCCTCCTTTCACATTCTATATTGCATTCAGAATCACCGGCTTAAAGAATGCTCATTTGAAACATGCTGCAAAAATGAAACCTTAAGATTTTTCATATGACCTGTTATCTTTCTTGATTTATATTCATCTGTGAAGGCTGAAGGTATTGGAAAGGTTATGTTATATGCAAGATGCACATTCATTTCCACACTTGAGAAGGAAGATTCATCTGCTATATGAAGAACACTGATATATTCAAATTTCAACTGTCTGGAGAGTCTGAACGCTTCCCATACTGTTAATATGTCTTCACTACTTCATGCTATCTATTAATTCACTGTGAAAATACATTCACAATGAATTTCAAAACTGAACACACAATCACAATGAATTTCAAAACTGAACACACAAGACTTGAATGATTAAGAGAACTGGTGAGAGTACAGTACTGTTGGCAGTGAGGTGCAATTCTTATTCTAAGAACTGCAATCAATTATAATACACAGCATTACCTACATCTACATCTGCACATATACACTGTCACGCACAACAAAAATGATGGGTTCCAGTGTGGATGATTGGATTTATTAGCATTTCAGTTCTCTCTTGATCACATTTAAATACAGCGCCATCACTGATTTACACATACTGATCCTTTCCTGGTAATATAAGGGGCAGTCAAATGAAAATGGGTCACCACGCATAACTCACACAGCGCGCAAGTTGGTAACACTGGAATTTGCTTACAGTATGAACATCTGGTGGGGACTTGTGAAAGCACAGTGACAACATGCCCTTGCACACTAGTCATTTGCTTATTGTGCTGGAAGTAAGGTTAGCGTTGCGTGTGGTCGTCCAACATCAGTAATGGAGGCAGGTAAAAAAGAACAGTGAAATGTAGTGTGCACTTTGAGTGCTGAAGGAGTAGAAGGATGAGAATTCATTGTCGCATGTCTATTATTTACGGTGAACTCAGCATGCCACGTTTGTGTGTGCTGGCGTGGCATAAGAAATTCCAAGAGGGACATGTGTCACTGGAAGATGATGATCGCCCACGACAGGCTCATCATGTTATCACTTCTGATGTTATTGCTGCATTGGATGGTCATATCCGGGCAAACCAAGGGATCACTGTGGAAGAAATTAGTCTTTTGATGAGAATAAGTCACGGTTCCGTACAGGCCATAGTGAGAAAACACCTGCTGTACCACAAAATCTGCACACAGTGGGTTCCACATCAACTCATGGAGAATCAGAGAAGACTCAGAGAAGATTGATTCACTGGGTCACTTGCAATGATACCATGAGGAAGAGTATGCTTTTCTGTCCCATATTGCCACTGGGGATGGAACTTTGTGCCAACATTTTGAACCCAAGAGCAAACGGCAGAGCCAACAGTGGAAACACATGAATTCTCCCCCACTGATGAAATCCAAAGCCGTACACACACAAGTTCCAGTAAATTGATGATGATGTTCTTCTTCGACTGCAAGGGCCCTCTGATTGTCGAATTTCTCGAGCATGGGGCCACAATCAGTGCACAGTGCTATGAAGACACTTTGTAGAAACTGAGACATGCCATAAAGTCAGAACGCCCTGGAATGCTATCGAACGGCATTACCCTTCTTCATGATAATGCACGCCCCCACACTGCCAACTCTGTGAGGAATACGCTACTGAGATTTGGTTGGGAAGGGCATCAACATCTCCCCTACAGCCCAGAGCTCTCCCCATGTGATTTTCACATTTTTGGAGACCTGAAGAGAGACATTCGTGGACATCGATTTACGTTGGACGAAGACGTCTGTGGCTGGGTCTTCAGTCCCCCGACTGGCATCACTGTGGCTCCTCCCCTGAGGACCCATTGATGATCCCTTTTGGACTGCATCATTCCTGGCTCGGGCTCAAGCTTCTCTATATCTGCCTCCGTTGCTTTGTGGCGGGTGGTGTTCTCTTGGCAGGCCTTCATGTCCACTGAGGTTGGTCCCTCACATTCCAGACGTGCCTCCATCATTTCTTGGTAGGCTGTTCTCTTGTTCTGGCATGCCCTCAGGGACTGAATTGCAACCTCTTCATTAGGAATCTCCTGCTGCTCTATTACAAACTCCTTTTCTCCTGGATTTGGCTCCATCTTCTCTAGATTGGCCTCCACTGCATCTTGGCTGGCCATTCTCTCTTTTTATCTGTCCTTCATTTCTACTACAATCTCCCTCAGACAGGCATCCTTCTTCTCTTCATGTTGCGTTTCGAGTTCCAATCTCCTCTAGTTGGCATCTCTCTTGTCGTGAATGGCTTCCCGCCTTGCCACCTCTTCTTTCTAATTGGCTTTCCTTCCAGCCTCCCTTTTTCCTTGATCGGCTCTCTTCTTGGCCATTATCTTCTCGAAGTCAGCTTTGCTTTTTCTTTGGTCAGCCTCCAAGTCGACCATCATCTTCCCTTTGTAGGCTTTTCTTTCGGCCCCTTTCTCTCCATCAGTTCATTCAAGGCTTTCATGTCTGCCCTCCTTTCTTCTTTGTTGGCATCTCTCTTTGCATTGTCCTGCCTGGCTTTTATGTCCTCTCCCATTTCAGCCCACAGGCAGGTCCACAATGGTTCCACCTGTGGGCAGTGAGCATGTGTGGCCAGCATTTCCCCTATTTCTTGCCTTGTTTGTTCCATATAACTCCTCAATATAACTTCTTCTGCAGTTTTCAGTGGTCATGAGTTTATGGCTGGGTGACTACTGACACCAAATTGTCACGTATTTACGGTCATAACCATTGTTGAAGAATCCAATAGGATCCGAACCACCAACTTCTGACACCAAAATGTCACGTGTAGGGTGGTACACATGATAAAACTGGCAGGTTCTAGTTTGGCTAACTGCATTTATTAGCACTTTGGTTACAATCTCTCTTGACCACATTTAAATACAGTGCTATCGCTGGTCCTCTCCTAGTAATGCAATTAAAACAGAGGAACTGGCACTTCAAATCACTCCAAATATTACAAATGAATAAAGTCTTCTAATCACACTTTAAAATCTTGAAGAGGCAAACTTTCCATGGCTTTCTCCTACCAAGAACTCAGAACTTTGTCACTCACTGCGTTCGTTATTCTTCGAATCTCACTATATAGCCGTGGCACGGATAACACAGAAAACACAGTTCTACTGTTGAAACATGTTTACCGAACCACTGCACAGCAACAGTTGCAGTGCAGACTCCATAGAAAACAGTCTTTCTATTGTTGAGGTTTGTTTACAGAGCCGTTGCTTAGCAACGTCCTACGATCCACAATACATTACAAACCAGCTACTCCCCAACAATTCCATGAAATTTACTCACTAATTTACAAAAATTAGTAAATATTATAATAGAAAATACCCTTACCTAACTTTTTGGAAGCATTTAAATCCAGTGCATTTTTCACAGTTGATACCCAGTTATCAAAGGACTCTGCCCGTAGCTTCAACTTGTGCAACATGACAGGCAGCTCGTCCAGTGTGTACCGATACCTGAAACAGGTTACCAATATAAACACTGTACCTCACAAAAACACCACAGAATCATGCCAGCAGCTACAACACAATTAAATCAAACAGTTCATTCTGTGGGGTGTGAATCTCTCAAACCTGGAACGACCAATTCTTGACAAAGGCTGTACAGTGAAGGTGTTGCTAAAAACTGAGGAGTAAAATCATTTACATGTTTAAAATAAGCTCTGCCATTTCTAGAATGCTTCCATATTTTCCATCCAACAAAAGCTACTAGAGGCACGCTTCATATTTTTCTTATACAATTAATTCACATAGGTACATACAGGATGTACCAAAACAGAGGACAAAATTGACGAAATGAAGGACAGCTTCCAGGAGGAACCAGAGCACGTGTTCAATTAATTCCCTAGGGACAACTTAAAAATTTTATTAGGAGATTTCAATGCCAAAACAGGTACACAGCATATTTCCAAAAAAACAACTGGGAACAAGGGTTTAAATGAAAATACTAATGATAATATGTTAGAGTGATAAACTTTGCCAAACTAAAAAGTCTGTCGAGTATGATATTCTGACATTAAAACATTCATACATTCACTTCAATATCTCTTGATGAAAGGCCATGCAATCAAACTGATCACAGCTTAAAGGAGAGGAGATGGCATTCAAGTGTACTTGATCTCCAGTCTGATCATACTATGGTGAAAAAAAGGTTGGGATATACTGGCATGAGGTCAACAGGCAGTGCAGACATTTGTTATGAAGTTCAATCTCAAAAACCAGTATCAAGTTAAAATTTCAAACAGGTCCGTAGCTTTGAAAAACTCACATGATGATGATGTGGCTATCAACAGAGCATCACTCACTCAGGAAGCTGAGCCCTTCTCGTAAAGCTGCTGATTGTGCAGCCACTCCAGAATGTCCCAGCATTCTATGGAACCTAAAGGTTCATTACCGTGTTCACAAGAGCCCTCCACTGGTCCCTATCCTGATCAAGATCAATCCAATCCATACCACACCATCATATCTCTCTAAGATACAGTTTACTATTGTCCACCCACATAAGTCTTGGTATTCCCAGTGGTTCTTTCCTTCTGGCTTTCTCACCAATATCCTATATGCATTCCTCTTCTCCCCATTTGTGTTAAATGCTCCACCCATCTCACCATTCTTAGTTTGATCATTCTACACTGGTAAGTAAAAAATTATCCACACTCTTGTTTTTCCAATTTATATACACACAAGTAGAGGTTGAACAAGTATGTTATTTTTCTATATAGTCTCCTTCCTTTTTGAGACACTTGGTCCAGCGGTCCACAAGCTTGCATATTCCATCCAAGAAGAAGGGTTTCGGTTGGTCGTGCAACCATTTATGCACCACTTCCCGCACTTCTTTGTCCGTAGAAAATCAATGACCTTGAAAAGCATAGTCAGAAGGGGCGCGAGCTGGGTTGTAGGCAGGGTGTTTTAGCACCTCGAAATATTGGTTTTAATGGTCTGGCCGGCCATGTGTGGGTGTGCTTTGTCACACAACAACACTTTCTTCGACAACAGGTCTCGGTGTTTGGTGCGAATTGCTGGCTTCAGATTGTTCGCCAGCAAACCACTGTATCTTGCAATGCTGATTGTACCCCCTTTTTCAGGTAGTCTTCCAGTATAGGCCCTTCTGAGTCCCAAAAAACGGTTAGAATCACCTTTCCCATGGAAGATTGAGCCTTGAATTTCTTGTCTGGCCACTTTCAAACTTCTGGATCCACTCATACACACTTCTAAGTGGTAGAGCACTGTCCCTATATTGTGCTGAAAGCCTCCAATGAATTTCAGCCCCTGACACAACTTCAAACCAGAGAAATTGGATCACTGTTCTTTGTTCCTCCTTGGTGCACACTGCTAATGGAGCAGCCATGTTTACACAGTCACAGCATCAAGGAAAATTATGCGGTCACGGTCAAACTTTGATCAGTTGACCACAGTAGTACCAACTCCAAGCATGCATGCGCAGTAGGCAGTGCCATAAACCTAAAGATGTGTTACAGCGAAAGTGCAGATAATTTTTTACTTTCCCTCATAATTAATACTTCGAGAAGGGTTCAAGTTATGATGCTCCTCTTTATATAGTTTTCTCCAACCTCCAATCACTTCATCTCTCATCGGTCCAGATATCCTCCCCAACACCCTGTTCTCAAACACCTTCAGTCTTTGTTCCTCCCTTAAAGTCAGACAGCAAGTTCCACACCCATACAGAACTACAGGCAAAATTATAGTTTTGTATATTCTAATTTTTATGTCTTCAGACAGCAGATAAGGAGACAAAAGGTTCTGGGCTCAATGGTTGCAAGCATTACCCGAATTCAGTCTCCTCTTAACTTCTTCCTAAATCAAATTTTGATTTTTTATTATAATTCCTAAATATCTGAACTGAGCCACATTGTTGACAGATCTATTAAATATCTGTACATTACGATTTTGCCCTGCACTCTGGAGACGAGACAGCAACACATACTTTTCCTTTCCTTCCATTTGCTTCCAGACCAACCTCCTTACTTGCATCACTTACAGTGGCTGTGCTTTTCCTCATGGTATCTACGTTATCTCCGAACAGACTTACATCAATAGGGACCACCAGCTGACGTGGCCCATTTAATTTTAGTCCCACTGCATTTCCCTAGACTTTCCCACTAACATATTCTAAAGCAAAGTTGAAAAGAAAGGCAATAGAGCATCTCCTTGTTTTAGACCATTCTGGATATGAAATGTATCACACAAATGCTCACCCATACCAACTTTACTATAGGTTCCATTTAAACACATTTTAATCAGCCTAACTGGTTTCATGGCTACAACACTTCCTTCCTAACCGTATCGTATGCTTTCTTGAAGTCTACAAATAGCTGATGTACTGTCTCACTGTATTCCCATTTCTTCTCCAATATCTGAAGAAGGCCAAAGATCTAATCTGCAGTTGGTCTGTTACACTGAAACCCACATTGCTGATCCCCAATAATTTCACCTACATATGGACTTAACCTTGAGAGAAGACTATTGGATAAAATTTTGTATGAAGTTGATAGTAGTGATATCCCATGATAATTACTTCAGTCAGCTTTATCACCCTTCTTGTGAACTGGTGCAATAATAGAGCACAGGTAACTATAAGGGAACAGAAAAATTTAAGCCGAAGAAAATCTAATCTTATTACAATTTTAAGCAGCATAAACCATGGGTCAATGAAGGATGTTCAAAACTACTAGGTCGAAAGAAACAAGCCAACTAGAAGTAATCTGGTAAAGGATTCTGCTTGTAGTTTCCCACAATTTGAACGGGTGGAAGAATCACTTCTCTCAGCTACTGAAGGTACACATGGTTAGTAAGGTATTACACTGATGGAAACACAAACAGCTGAGCTATTAGTACCTCAGCCCAGTCCTTTTGAGGTTGAAACTGCTACTGCAAAAATGAAAAGGTATGAATCACCAAGTAATGAACAATATAAGATGCAAAATCAGCAGGCATTTCTGGAATAAAGGAGGGATAATATGAAAGATAAAAGAACATTAGAGACCTGTATAGAGGAATAAATTCCTTTAAGAGGGGTTACCAACCTAGCAGTAACTTAGTGAAGGATGAGAATAGTGATCTGCTTGCAGATTTCCATAACATTTTGAATAGGCGGAAGAACTACTTCTCTCAGTTATTGAATGTACATAGGGTCAGTGATGTTAGGCAGATAGAAACACCTACAGCTGAACTGTTACTACCTCAGCCTAGTCCTTTTGAGAATGAAATTGTTATTGCAAAATCTGAAAGGTATAAATCACCAGGTAGCAATCAAATTCCGGCAGACTGATTCAAGCAGGAGGTGAAACATTACATTCCAAGATCCATAAACTCATTAACTGTATACTGAATAAGGAAGAATTGCCTCAGCAGAGGAAGGAGTCTCACTGTACCAGTCTACAAGCACGTCAATAAAGCTGACTGCAATAATTACTAAGGAACATCACTGCCACAAACAATATACAAAATTTTATAAGACATCCTTATTTCATGGTTAAGTTCACAAATAAAGTATATAATTGAGGATATTCAGTGTGGGTTTCAGCATAACAGATAAACTACTGATCAGATTTCTTGAAGTCATCAGATATTGGGCAAAAAGATGGCTATTCACAGACTTCAAGAAAGCCTATGATTCAGTTAGGAAATATTGTATAACATTCTCACTAAGTCTAGGGTACCCATATAACTAATTAGGCTTATTAAAATGTGTTCAAATGAAACTTACATTAAAGTCTGTAGAGGTAAAAACATATGTTATACATGTGTATTTAAAAACAAGGAGATGCCTTATCATCACTGCTATTCATCTTTGCTTTACATTATGCCATTACGAAGGTCCAAGAAAACCAGGTGGAACTGAAATTAAATGGGACACATCAGCTTCCAGTCTGTGCTGATGACATAAAGGCAAACACAGAAGATCCAGCACTAGCAAGGACGCTGGTCTAGAAGTAAACACAGAGAACTCTAAGTACATATTCATGTCTCATCACCAGAATTCAGGTCAAAATCATAACATAAAGACAGCTAACAAATCCTTAAAAAAATTGGCAAAGTTCCCATACTTCAGAATGATAGTAAAAACTCAAAATTTGATTCATGAGCAAATAAGAGAAGATTAAATATGGGTAATGCTTGCTGCCATACCATTCAGAGCCCCTTCTCATCTCATCTGCAGTCTAAAGATATAAAAATTAAAATACTGTGACAAAAGGCAAGGGGAGCCAGATAAACCGCCACTGCTAGGTAATGGCTGTGTAATACGCAATAATACCACAGCCACTGCTACGCAACATACACATGCAACAATGGAGTAACTGTTGGAACTAATGTTTTCTATGCGGTCTGTTCTAACAGTGATGTCATTCAAAAGTAGAATAACTCTCGGAGGCAGTGTTTTCTATGTGGTCCGTCCAGAGGCTACACAAGGAGTCACTAAGCAGTTGTAGGTTAGCTCAGCTCGGGAGCTGCAGCTGGAAGATTCTAGTCAGTGAGAACAGGAGCTGCTGGGCATGGAAGCTGAGGATGTTACATTGTTGGAAGCTGCTACCAGGCAACATGACCAAGAACACACGTGGTGTGTTCAAAAAGTATCGAACCTTTGGTCGACAGAAATACATTTATTGATTTGGAGGTACAAAACCCTAATCCCCTACAAAGTAGTCTCCTTGGTAATACACACACTTCTCCCAGCACTTCCGCCATTGTTGGAAACACTTCTGGAACACGTCTTTTGGAATGGTGATCAGCCGGGCCATCATATTCTGCATGATGTCTTCTCTTGACTCAAATCGGGTTCCTTTCAGTGGCATTTTCAGCTTGGGAAATAGCTAAAAGTCACACGGAGCCATGTCGGGGGAGTAGGGAGCCTGACGACCCACAGGGATGTTGTGTTTGGTGACGAAAGTCTGAATCAGAGGTGCAGAATGGACGGGTGCATTATCATGATAGAGCTGCCAAGTTTTTGCTTCCCACAGATCCGGTCGTTTGTGCCACACAGCATCACGAAGGCGATGAAGGACCTCCTGGTAGGATTCCTTTGTGATGGTTTGGCCTTGTGGTGCGTACTCATGATGCACAACCCCACGGGAGTATTCGAAGAAAATGGCCAACATGACCTTGACATTGCTGTGGACCTGCCGTGCTTTTTTTGGCCTCGGGGATGTCAGATGCTTCCACTGTGATGATGCATCTTGGTTTCCGGGTCATACCCATAAACCCATGACTCATCGCCTGTGATCACGGTGTTCAGAAAGTTGGGGTTACTGTTTGCATTGTCCAGCATGTCCTGTGCGATTTCCAGATGGCGTTGCTTCTGCTCCACTGTTAGCAGTTTCTGTGCTTACCCCTATCTCGTTCGCAAGTTCTCAGACTGTGATACAACGGTCCTCCATGACCAAAGTCCGCACTTGCTCAATGACATTCTCATTTCGGCCTGTTGAGGGTCTGCCTGAATGCGGTTTGCTGTCCACTGATGTGCGGCCATCTTTGAAGCGGTTGTACCACTCCTTTATCCGTGAGTTGCTCATGGCATCGTCCCCGAAAGCCTGTTGAATCTTGCGAATGGTTTCCACTTGGGTATCGCCAAGCTTTTGGCAAAATTTGATGCAATATCGCTGCTCATGTTGTTCCATCAGTTTACACCTTACTGGAATCCAATGAGCGCTCACTACACATCTTAACTCATAGGCTGACTGCCAGCGACTGACGCTTTCTGCGGGCGGGAAAAAATTCACGACTGCGCATGAATGTCCCCTCCACATCTCCACTGAAGGGAGCCTCCCACGCTTCATTGGTTAACGCGGGGGAAAAAAGGAGGTTCGATACTTTTTGAACACACCACGTAAGTCTGCATGTGATAGTGATCTGTGTAGTAAGAAGCTGTAAAAGTGTCCAATACATCCAGTTATCAATCCAAAACCCATCTATCATCACTTGAATGTGTGCCAACATACATTACAATTTTACCTGTAGTTTCGTACAGACATGAAACTTGGTCTCTTTATATTAAAGGATGAATACAGACTGAAGGTGTCTGAGAACAGGGCACAGAGGAGAATGTTTGAACCCAACATGGATGAAATAATAGGAGACAAAGGCAAAGCTGTCCATGTGCTTAATTATTTAATCACTATGCCATGAAGACATATGGGGAGTGGAGGTATAGCTCCACCATTCTTTACCTCAGCACTAGATGCAGGTGAATGGTCAGCTTCATGCCCCAGCTGCTTTACTCCTGGGGAAATGGCCCCAGCACCCATTGGATAGGAGGCTGGGTGAACCCCAGAGTTGGCATGGATGCTGTGGAGAAGAGAAAAATCTCGCCCCTGCTAGAAATCAAACCCCGGATGAAATAATCAGAGGCTGAAGAAAATTGCATGAGGAGGAGTTTCATAACTTTCACTTTTGCCTACTACAATTGGAATGATCAAGCCAAGAATGATATGATGGGCACAGCATGTAGCAGGCATGTGAAGAGAAGAAAGAGAAGACTGCATATAGGGATTTGGCAGGGAAGCCAGGAGGAAAGAACCCACTAGAAGACCCACACATTGATACGATATTATTAAAATTGATCTTAAGAGAAATGGAATGGATTGGCATGAACTGGATTCATCTGGGTCAGGAGAGAGGCTCTTGTGAACATGGTAATGAAGCTTCAGGTTCCATAAAATGTTGGAAAATTCTTCAGTAGTTTCTGAAGAAAGACTCAGATCCACAGAGTTAGTTAGGTACATACAAGACACAGCTGTAGTACACTTAAATGCACAGAGCAATCCCTCCTGCCCAGTATCCTGGAGCCAAGGAACAGTACAGAAGGCTTCCACCTTCTCCTGTCCAGCCCCTGCTAGCCTACATCAGAGCCCCAAGTGCATGTCAGAAGCAAATGGTCGTTATCTGCCAATATTGCTCTGAACCAAACAACCAGACATGGAGGTACAGGTATGCTAGAGGGAGAAGCACAGCAGCCTGATCCACAGGAATTCTTGTCCTGACCTCAATACAGATGTGAATGCAACAGTGGGTTATAAGCAGTTTCAAAAACTCAGTCATGGCAACAGTCCAGCATAAAACAACAGTGGGTGGATTAAAGCAGATAAATGGCACCAAACCAAAATGTTTGCTTTGAACCTTTGCTGGACATTGTGAAATCACTTGCATATTCAATACATATCATGATTCTGATTTCTTGTGGCTGTAATGGTTATAGAACTTCACAAAGGAAAAGTTTGATCTGTTATTATCTTACTGAAAATGAATTTTACATATCGGCTGTTACTCTTCAATGTGTGATGCAGTCACCAAACCAGATTTCACTTAGGTCCAGCACACTGTTCAGTAACTTGAATCCCAACACACTAACCTTAGTGTATGCTTGTCTGGTGGGCATGAGCATAGACTTGAATAATGCCGAAGACAAACCAGATGTTCTGCATTGCAACTACATGTTACAGCTGACAAAAAGCAAGTTGTTTTGCATACTTCACACTGCCTCTCATCATCAGGCAGCAATTCAAATGCTTCTCTTTCAGCTTCAGTCACACCCTGAAATCAATAAAATATATTTAAAATTTACTTCTACTATAAAAAAATGTAAATTCAATTAATTTCATCAACTTTATATCGTGAAACCTCAATTTCAGTGACCCACATCACAGGCATGTTTCTTGTGGCGCCAGCTCCATATGGCTAATGTATTGTTTTCCCCTGATTTAAGTTTTCTTGATGTCAGAGCAGGTTTCCCTGCTGCTTCCTACCCACATCGATATCTTGTTTCAGCACTGAAGGGAACTGTTTGTGTACTGAAACTCATGTGAAGCCACCCTTATACTTGCATGCACAGATTAGTACCTCTCCCAATCTCTGTTCGTCCTCTTTGTCACTAGGAAGTTCTTACCATTTGTTCATTTTGTGTTGCAGTCAAGCACTGCAGATCTTTAAGTGAATATGAAGTAATGATTGAACATGGCATTGAAAAGAAAGAAGACAATAAATGAAAAAGTGAAAATTATTCAGGATGTGGATAAGATTCCAACTGTATCATCAAATTAAACTGAGACATGTCCTGTGTGCCTCTGTCATCATTCACTAACATAATTCTGTGGAAAGCTTCAATTCTTGATGAGGAAAGATGGTGTGGGGCACATTCCAAGAAATAGAAAAAAGAAAATTATTTTATTAAATGAACAGGGTTTGGTGTCTTATTATTGATTTAACCAAGTTCAGCAGTCATTTTAGGCACCGTTTTCCAAAACCCCCATTTAAGGTACAAAATGCTTGTCCCCCTAACACACCTTAAACTGAGGTCCCAATGTACCTGAAGAAAAAAAACGTATTTAAAATCCAATAAATTCTACAAAATTAACACGTAGTTTGAAAACCCAGAATCCCTTAAATCAGCAATGAGAGACTTTAATTTCTGCGTGGACAATTTTTGTGTTATCTTTTGTTTACTATGCAATGCTTCAAGTGTCTAATCAGAATATGGCTGCACACGGTACCAGCAGAAAGCAACGACTTCTCAAGAACAGCTTCAAGTGACAAGAACCATGGAAGAAAATCCACAACTGTTAAATGTGGTCTACTAGCAAAATAACTCAACATGCCAGCTGCAATTTTGCATGTAGCATCTAAAGCAAAAAAGAGCAATAGGGAGAAAACATAGGCAGTTAAGAAAGTAACCAACCTTTTTCACTTCCCCTTGCATGAAATGTTCTCACATTTTTTAGACTGGTGTGCTGAAAAATTTCTAATCCAGTAAAACATCTTACTATTCAAATAATAATCATAAATAACTTAAATTAATTTATCACAATCACAGTAATTGTATGAAAACAGCCTAAATATGAAAAACAGATACAAAAGGCACCATTACAATGACTGTCATTATAGGTACAAGCTGGAAGGAATTCCATAAAAACACACAATATCACATACGGTCATAATAAGTTCAGAAAATCCTACCCATTCAAGCAGTGATTTCCTCATTTTCTTTTCACTGTCCACCATCTGCAGCATATCCTGATATGTGGCAGCAGCTACAGTAAGGTCCAAGGCATCTGGGTCCAAAGACATTTTGCACACAAGCTCATCATGAGAGAAAACACAAAAACGACGTAACATGGAATAGTGACTGATGCATTCACGCCCCATTTTCAACTGTAAGAAATTCAAACAAAACTGTCATAAACAGAAGACTGTAACTCCATAAATACACACTACACAACTTCAAAACACCCGCGCGCGTGCATGTCTGTGTCCTGGTGCCTCCATGTTCAGGGTAGGTATGCTACCTATGTACCAAACCACATTTACATTTACATTTCTTTTCACTTCATGGATCCAATCATCTCCCCATAGGGCTGGATATAAAACATGTCACACATTACAAATTCATGATGACCACACATCATACGTCCCTGGTCTAATTTGGTCCAATAAAGTATATAATCATGCCTCACGCAGACATCACAAGTTCTCAAGACAGCACACACAGGCCATGGAAAAACCACTGTCACATTCGACCCTGAACAAAATTCCTCATACTTCCAACCATAACAACTCTATGCTGCGCAACTGCACACCTTGTCATTCCACACACATTGGCCAGCCATATCATCAATACAGTTTCATTGTGACATATTAAAATTCATAACAAACACAGACATCATACATACTGCCACACATACAGCAAGCAACTCTCAACAATGTACAATACAATTAAACAATTGTATAATACAAGCACACAGACCATTTATTAACTCTTAACATTTGTGCTATAAGCATGATGATGATGAAGACCACAGGGAAATTCTGTCACCTGAGCAACCTCACCTTCTTGCCTCCAACTCCAAGAACTGTCTGGACCTAAGCATATGCCGCCTCCTGATTTCCTCCTAGAGCTCACTTCCATCTCTTCTTCACACACTTGATCCTTACCCTCATGCTGACAGAATGTGCAGCAAGTGATTAGCAGTAAAGCGGATAATGTTCCCGCTCCGCTAAAGAACTAAAGAATTACCATGCATGAGATGAAAGGATTCCTCCTGGCCTGTATTCTAAATATGGGCCTCATCAAAAAGCCAATCACAGCATCATACTGGTCTCTCTCTTCCCAAGCCACCCCATGGTTTGGGAAAGTGTTTACCAAGCATGGCTTTTCCCACTTGTTGTGCTTCTTCCACCTCGTCAACAACAAAGGATTGCCAGGCCCCAAAGAACCAGACTACGATCCCTGTGCAAGGTACCAACCCCTTGTGGACCATGCAAACAGGTATTCAGGCATCACCTACACCCCTCATCAAGAAATTGGTGGTGAAAAGGTCTGGTAGGTACCAAAAACAATACCAGTCTCATGCAGTATTTGCCCAATAAGCACCACCAGCATTGAGGAATGAAATTTTGGATGTTGTGCGACTCTGTATCCAGCTACTGCCTCAGGTTTCTCATATACAGAGGGGCCAGGCCTCAGGAAGACGAAGACAAGGACAACATCAAAAAAAAGAAATTGCCTCGCATACACCATCATGAAAAACTGCTTGAGTCTGGAGGGTAATTCAACAAAGGCTACCAGGCCTTCAGGGAAAACTATTTCATGCCTGTCCCATTTGTCTGCCATCTCCATCAGCTAAGCACCTACATCACTGGAACTGTTAGCAGGAACAGGAAACTTTCACCCTAGCTGTTCAAGAACAAATCCGCAGTTTGACAAAAAACGTATTGCAGATCTGGTCCCCTCCTCACGTGTTCTCTGTGAGAAGAAATCACAAAAGACTCCCGTCATTCTTCTCTCCAGCCTTGCCACAGCCCTCGAACAGGCAGTGCATGGAACACATGGTGGCAATCCACAAATAAAACCAAACATCATCACATCTTACAAGTTTATGGGCAGCATTGGCTCTTCAGACATGATGCTGTACACTTATATGGATGGAAGGTAGACAGTGTGTTACTGTAAAATGGTAGCTTTCAACATCACAGCCAGGATGGTGCTGAATAGCTACATCCTCTACAAGGAAGACTACAGGGGCCTGGCAAATTGAAATCCAGGTACAACTACACTATGTCCATAATCGAGAGCTTTGGGGAGGATGGTGGGCTCTGAAGGACAATGCTGGAGCAGATGATCCTCAGTGATCACAAGGACTCAGAGAACTCCCTGAAGAGTCCCACTGCACTGTCTGCAGCACAAAGGAGAGGAGGGGGAGAGCCAGAACAGTATGCACCAGGTGCAACAAGGGGCTGCAGGGAGAATGCTTCCTCAACACAAGCGCTAAATGCAAAAGGTACATATGCACTGATTTACATAACGTGATGTAGTTCCAGACCACAGAGCATTTCATGCAAAGAACTTATACCAAAATTTACATTAAAATAAACTGTTGCTTGCAGGCTTGGTGACAACAAAAGAAGAACAAAAAGACAATTTTATATTTTGCCTAAATTGTGTAAATTTTAAATTTCTATTATTTAATTCTGTCAATTTCTATTTCTTTCAAATTATTTGTTGTGTTAGCACTAGCAGGCTATTTTTTTTAAATCTGCTGTTTATAGTGAACAAGCGTGCTTTTTCCTTATATCTTTGACCAAAATAGTATTTTTGGTGACTTCTTGAAGTGAGACTTGCAAATTGAGCCTAACTTGCCTGAATGTTTCAGGCCAGGGTGCTTGGAAAATAGGCTGAGTGCAAAAGGGTTAAATGTCAGGTGTCATCACTCAAACTTTCTATGAGAAATACTGTCTTCACATACTTTATGAATGCAGTCAGCACTGCACTTTTTTGTAATGAATAATGGTGGGATTTTGTAAGGAGATAGAAGTGTCTGTATAAGTGAGTTTTCTGAATACTGATTGCCCCAGTTAGCCGTCTCGCTTTGGTCACCAAAACATCCAGCAATGGAGAGGAAACAACTGATGTTTTCACTAATGAAACTTTTTCAGTGCACTTCTAACATACACCACAAAGTAAAGTAATTTGATTATCACTGTGAAATGGGCAGTAAAAATTTCATAGAACGTGTAAGAAACTGTCTAATACCAGGACTGACAAAAGGGTGCATTTCTTCTAGACAATGCATGCATAACAGCAAGCATAATAACAAAGCACCTGCAATCAATTCGCTGAGATGTGATAACTGTTGCTAAGAAAAACCAACATTCAGTATGACAAACATATGTAAAATAAGTAAAGTAAAGTAAAGTAAAGTAAAGTAAAGTAAAGTAAAGGTATCCCTGTAGCAGATTGTGAAGGCCCATAGGGTTGTGAGATGTTGAGGTAGCCACATTTTCTAGAAAATCGGCTCAAAGATGGCAGTGAGGTTGTCAGCCTTATGTACCAGCTGCCCTTTGCCCCCAGGAACATTCCCAGTACTCATTTCTGTTAGAGGCTGAGTTGACCCCAGGGCCAGAGTGCAGCTGGAAGGTTCAGACCTTCTGGCTTGTAGCACAGTGCCCCAAACCAACTACGCTACTGTGTGCTCCATGACAAACATATGAGGAAGTGCAAACTAATTGCTCTTGTAAAACAGAATCATCTAAGGATAGTGTTTTCAATCAATGAAATGTTGCAAGAACATGACTTTAGACCTATATACCATTTGGACTTAAATCCCACCATTAATTAGGAATATGCTAAAACACAAGATTACAGACAGAAACGTGGGAAATAGTCTTTTTAGTACATTAATGACTGTACATGAGACCTTCAATATCATGTCAGATGACCAGAAAAATCCTACTGCATATCACTTACTAGAAAAAAGGGTTGACGGAAAAAGTTGAGCACAGATAGGTTTAATGAAGTACAGGTGACCCCCTTAGCAACTGACTTGAATATTAAAAGAGAAAATGAAAGTAGGTCATATTCTTGTGAAAGTACATCTGATACTATGACAAAATATCTCAACCCATAACAAAGGGTACAGTAACATTATAAGCAACAGAGTGGGTCAGGCACATGAAACATGATATCAAGTATGCATGTTTCAATTTAAACAGAATTTAACAGAAGTCATTATTGCCAACACACCATTTATACTAATTTCCATCAAGAGTATCCAATATTTAACGATCAAATAATATGTTTCAACTGTAAATGGCCATCTTTTGAGGATACCAATACTAAAGAAAACCTCACATAACTGACATGAATTACTTTAACATATTTTGTCCATGTAAATTAAATGCAAATCCTTAAAAGATCATTCAATCATTGAAAAACTGGATCTACTTGATGACAATTCTGTGCTTCAGTTGTCATGCGATACACACTGTGCCTGTTCTCCTCATTCTGCTCTTTGAAATATTCAATTATACCAGGACAGTTCAGTGCTTTTCCAGGTTATACTCAACAGGTATATAATTTAATTTCAGTGTTGTGTCAGAAATATATAACACTTTAACATTCAAAGGAGGCAGGAGAGCATAGATGGTACAGCAACTGGTTACAGACTGGATTAACAAGGGGTCAGAGTTTGAGTCCCAGTAGGGTCAAGAATTTTCTCTTCTCCATGCCATCCAGAGGGGTTCTGGGGCCCACACAGTCTCCTATCCAATTCCTCGAGGGAGTAGAGGGGCTGGTGTGTGAAGCTGCCCACTCACCTCAAACTAGTGCCAAGGTCAAAAAAATGTGGACCTATACATCCAGTTCCCCATATGCCTTCATGATGTAGTGCTTAACTAGTGGACCTATACATCCAGTTCCCCATACGCCTTCATGATGTAGTGCTTAACTAGTTGAGCACAGAGACAACTTTACCTTTTTAACATTCAAAGGGTTGAATATGGAATGCAGTGTAAAAACTTCCTGCAAAACCAGCAAATAGGCAAAGAATCTTCACTTTTACATTGAGATAAAATGACTCTGTTGTTTGAGATAACTGGCAAAGAAAAAATATTTATTACAGTCATGCCACTATGCTAACAAACCATGTGGAGAGTAATTTAATGAACTAATGGGGAATATGTGAAAATGTGGACATCTCAAGTACATAAGTAGCATGAAAGTTTCAGCCCATAAGCAGTATCACATTACACAAAATTTGTGCTGATATAGCAAAATTATTGGAAATAATTATGGTACACAGAAATGGTAAAGATAAGTTTGTTAATTCTTCTGGACTAGTACTTATGCAATGTGGTAACAATGTCAGGTATTCTCA